GGCCGCCTCTCCCCCCCCCCTCCCCCCCCCCCCGACCCGCTCTTTTGTTTCCCCCGTCTTCCATACGGCATTTGTACCCAAAAAGCAGCAAATGCTAAGGTTTTCTTCGCAAGCTTGCAGTCGCTCCATTTCCAGATTTGATGTCTCGCCAGTAGCTATGGCTGAACAAGGGGAGTTGCTCCATTTTCAAGTCTCTTTCTGACATACCTGGTAATTAAAAGGAGTCTTTCCCTCAAACACCGCTTGGTTTGCTGGTAGATGCTGTGACGGTTTCTGAAGCTGTAAGTGAAATGGCTGAAGAGAAAGGTGTAGTTACTAGGTATCCGCACCAGTTTCAAAGAGATGGGTCGGTAACAACCATCTCATTTTCCATAACTTGCAGAACAGCGTTTTTGGAAACCTCGGATCCTTTCCAATAGTAAAAGATGACAAAAATTAATTACAATAAGGTGACATTTTTATTATTTATACAATAAAGAGACTTTTTAATGTTATTCAAAACACTTTTTTAAATACTGAAAAAGTTGGGTACACCAAAGCCGAAAAATGGCTCTGCTATACACTGCACAGCATTGTTTTAGTCCCTGTATTTGTTTTATGTACAGAAGCATCTGCAAAATGCATTCTAAACACAATATGCACCTTACGGATAAGTGTCATACATGAAATAAAACTGGAAGGATACAACCTGCATGTGCAAATGAACTAACAATATAATTGATTGCACTGAATCAATAGATTTAAAATAGAATTTTGAAGTACCTTTTCGCACAGAAAATGAAGCAGCTTTCAAGTTCAGTAAGTCTTTATACTGCAAAAAACATTAAGTACATTCACAATCTATGTTAATAAAGTAGTAAATATTTCTTCATTCAGCTTTATTTACATTGATACTGTAATTAAACTGAAAAGTACAGTTAGTCATTTGTAATATAGCAATCTTTTAACGAATTTTGAAGTACCTTTTCGCACAGAAAATGAAGCAGCTTTCAAGTTCAGTAAGTCTTTATACTGCAAAAAACATTAAGTACATTCACAATCTATGTTAATAAAGTAGTAAATATTTCTTCATTCAGCTTTATTTACATTGATACTGTAATTAAACTGAAAAGTACAGTTAGTCATTTGTAATATAGCAATCTTTTAAAACATACAAAAATGACCATTTTCTGTATATAATTTAAGCTCAAAATCACAATTATCTCAAAATATTAATTACAATACAGCCATCTCCATCATAATTAAACATGTCTTTTATAAAATGGTAAAATTTTTAATAAAGTAAGCTGTTGGTTCTGAACGGGATACAGTACTCACAAGTAGAAAACCGAACTGATGAGAGCGTTTGTTCTGCCCGGGGGGTCGGGGCAAAGCCACGCGTGCCAGCAAAGAGACAGAGAAGGCCCCAATTGACAGAGATGAAGCCTCTTGTGCTGCAGGGCTGTGGCTGGGTCGGTGGTGCTGCAGAAAAGGCCTTACAAGGGCCGTGGAAATTCTTATGCAATGCAGTGATGTCATTCACTTCCAGAATATTTGCTGGAATTGTCCAGGAAGAGGATGGGCAAAAGGCTTGCTTTTTTTTTTTTTTTTTTTTAAAAGAGAAACTATTTAAACTCTATGATTCGCAAATACTCTCTTTTCAAATTTGCTTTTCCATGAAAGTTGACGTTAGCCGCCCCGCACGCCCTCTGCGGGGCAGAGCGCGGGCGTCCTTGCCTGGCCTCTGGGTGCCACTGCTGTGCCGCACACGTGGCTTGATGCCTGCCATCACACATACCCAAACCCAAGTTGTTCAAAGCAAAACCAAACCACCAATTAATTCATATCCTATCCAAACTACTGGCCTGAAAGTTGTATCGTTACGTTGTATTCCACTCACACTGCCAAGACTGACAAGTGAAATAAGTCCTTACATCTGATTGCTCGAAAATGAAATGGTACATTGTCGTGCGCTTGCTTAAAATTAAATTTTTGAAGGCAGCAGACGGGGGGAAGAGCGCTGAGGCAGGATGGGGGTTGGTACACACTAGCCCATGGGTAGGGAGCTCAAACTTCAGATAAAACTTTATTCTCATTTGGAAATTCTAAATGGAAAATCCCACCAGTTAAAAATGCTGCTAAGGTAGGTGGTGAATCCACAGCCCACGGCTGAGGCTCATCACCTCCTGTGCCTCTTCATGAATTTTGGGAAACGGATACTTGTGTCAAATCTTCCTTCTGTTTTACAGGGCTGGCCTGGCAGTGTGGGAGAGGGGTAGCGCTACGGTGACACGCGGAGCCCCACGTGCTGGTGAGCTTAGCTTCCACCGAAGAGGCTGGGCAGCACGGACCCCAAGCGCTAACCCTGTTACCTGTTAGCGGTTAGTTCCCCGGGAGTAAATACCCCTGACTGACGCCCAGTCGTCCTGCTATTGATCCCTGGGTCTTCTCTTGAGACCAGATCCTCCACGTGAGCAGACTGCAGTGTATGGTTTCTCATTTAATACTGTCTTGGCATTTACTGTTGCGTGTATCTCTATCAGAGATATACATATATATACACACAAAATGAAATGGTACATTGTCGTGCGCTTGCTTAAAATTAAATTTTTGAAGGCAGCAGACGGGGGGAAGAGCGCTGAGGCAGGATGGGGGTTGGTACACACTAGCCCATGGGTAGGGAGCTCAAACTTCAGATAAAACTTTATTCTCATTTGGAAATTCTAAATGGAAAATCCCACCAGTTAAAAATGCTGCTAAGGTAGGTGGTGAATCCACAGCCCACGGCTGAGGCTCATCACCTCCTGTGCCTCTTCATGAATTTTGGGAAACGGATACTTGTGTCAAATCTTCCTTCTGTTTTACAGGGCTGGCCTGGCAGTGTGGGAGAGGGGTAGCGCTACGGTGACACGCGGAGCCCCACGTGCTGGTGAGCTTAGCTTCCACCGAAGAGGCTGGGCAGCACGGACCCCAAGCGCTAACCCTGTTACCTGTTAGCGGTTAGTTCCCCGGGAGTAAATACCCCTGACTGACGCCCAGTCGTCCTGCTATTGATCCCTGGGTCTTCTCTTGAGACCAGATCCTCCACGTGAGCAGACTGCAGTGTATGGTTTCTCATTTAATACTCTTGGCATTTACTGTTGGGTGTATCTCTATCAGAGATATACATATATATATACACACACATATATATACACATATCTGTAAATAAGCATTTTTTTGATTGCATAAGGTAATTAAATGCTGTATTACAAGCCAGCGAGGTTTAACCAAGGAACGTCTTTTTTTTACATTCAGAGTGCTTACTAGCAACAGCAAACCAATCTCCTGAACATTTCATACTGTAATTTTTAGTTGGATTTTTGGCTCATGAAGATTAGTGGTGTTCTATAACATCAGTGATTTCACTTTTCATGTGTTCCTATATGAGCTAAAAATATGGCTATTACAGCAGCGCTTCCA